CTTTCCTTTCCCCACAGCAGGCACCTTGTGAGGTAGGTGGGGCTGAGAGAGTGCTGAGAGAACTGTGACTGGCCCAAGGTCACCCAGCAGACTTCATGTGGAGGAGTGGGGAATCAAACCCGGTTCTCCAGATTAGAGTCTGCCACTCTTAACCACTATACCATGCTGGCTCTATCCAAGGAGGCAGATGCATGGAAGGGGAATTAGCATTGTGTCTGCTCACCCTAGTACTTCACATGTTTGATTGCCTTTCTCTTCTGAGCACATGCAGGCTTTGTGCAGAGGTATAAATGGTGGGGAGTATCCAGCAGGCATCATCTCAACCCCCACCCACCCACCCACCCACACATGCACACATTCTTTCTGAACATATTGCCTGTTCAAGGCTGGAACAGTTGACTAATTAGCATCACGATCAACATCATTGATTTTAAAAAAGTAAAGGAAATGCAGACTGTGTACAAATGTACCCACTGCCAGGACCCACCCACCCACACATGCATACATTCTTTCTGAACATATTGCCTGTTCAAGGCTGGAACAGTTGACTAATTAGCATCACGATCAACATCATTGATTTTAAAAAAGTAAAGGAAATGCAGACTGTGTACAAATGTACCCACTGCCAGGAACTGGGACATGTTTTTCTGGTGCATCATGAATGTTGCTTTCCCCTATACTTGCTCAGCTACCACCACAGATACCTGACCCCGATTTCAGTGTGACGTTTAGCCATTTATTTAGCTTTTTAAAGCCAGCCTGGATTGTTGGCACCTTTAAAAAAAAGATCTGAGTAAGGAAAGGAAAGTTGCTTCAGAGCTGCCACTCACCACTCCTCAAAACCAATTAGTCCTGGAAACAGGGGGGGAAAACTATTTGCACCTGATGTAGATTCAGTATGTAAATTTGAATGGACTTACCACAACAGTTCTATATGCAGCTTTACATCATATAAACCAGGTATCTAGATGCCTGAAGTCAGGTATCTAGATGCTTGGAATTGCCTGCATGAGATCACAACCTCTTGTTCTTGGGGATGTTGATTATGCTCTGTTTCTGGGTCTTCCCTTCATCCATAAACAGGTTTTTGAAAGGGTGGGTTTATTAACTAGTGCATGAAACAGAAAAGTCCTTTGTTGTCATTCTTTTGCCACTTCAAATGTTAGAAAATGGCAGAATTCAATATGTGAAGATACAGTAGATCCATATTGCATGACCTTTGGAAAGCAGCAGAGTACACTACACCTTGAGGTTCTGGTTAGATGTAAGGAATCTTATTGCATAAATAAAAGTGGCCATCATTGATGAATATAGAGCTGGGGAGGGGGGGGGTCTTCCATTCAGACAAGATTATATAATCAAGATAACATCATAGTGCAAGCAGAGAGCAGGAATAAACAATGTTCGCATCAGTACATTCTTTAGTATTTGTATTTTCTATGCTCAAGGTGACATAAAAGCTTCACAGTTCTGCAAAACACTTTTCCAAACTTGAAATTTGCCTCCTTAGATATACTTGATATGGTGTTCTTCTTCTTTTACATCAGTCGAATGGAACGAGATACAGGATGTAGTATTTTGTCAGTTATTTGACTGCTTGATGGGGAAGGGTGGGATGAAAAAAGAGAATGAAACCTAGTTCTAGCCTGTTGAACAAAGCTGCAATGTGAACAAGGTGTAGGAGCTGCTGGCAATCATTAAATCTGCAAAGGAAACCTGGTACACTGGGTGTTAATTACAGTAATTCAAGATGTTTCTGAGAATACACTGGCTTCTTTTTCTTCTCCCCTGTGCAATTAATTGACTCGAGTTTTCTGTTACAAGTGCTTAAACTGTCCTGCTGTCTTTCAGACAAAAGAGGAGTGCCTAGGAGAACGACATTGAGTCTGCATTTTCTAACTTTGTTAATCTCTTTTTCCCTTGCTTAGTGGTGATGCCTATCCACGTGCTGTCACTGTTGCAGCAATCAGCTCTGTAATGACAAATGTGAAACTTAGTTGATCCATTTTCTTTAGTTGTGACTAAACGTGGATACATTTATTCTATACAACAATGTCTGCTTCCAAGTGGCTACCTATACAGGTGTGAAGTACAGTGGTTCCAGCTCTTCCATTCTGTGCAATCCAGATGGGATTGGTATTTCAGCCTACCCTGATTCCTTGGGGCTGCTGGTGTAGTTTAAGAGCCAGGCTTAGGTCCTAAATGGAACTCCCTCTCTTCATATTTGTGTCTTCTGGAATATTCTAGATAGAACTGGGTTCTACTCCAGTCGTTGTTAAGTCCGTGTTGCTTCCTGCCTAGGGCTGCCAACCTCCAGGTGGGGCCTGGAGATCTGTTTTTAAAACTGATCTCCAGCTGAGAGAGATCAGTTCCCCTGGAGAAAATAGCTGCTTTGGAAGGTGGACTTTATGGCATTGTACCATGCTGAGGCCCCTCCCCAAACCCTGCCCTCTCCCAGATCCACCCCCAAAGTCTCCAGGTATTTTCCAACCCAAACCTGGCAACTCTATCCCTGCCTTTGGTATCTGTAAGATGCAGTCTTTCAAAACTCCGTCTGAGTTGGTCTTGACTGACAATTTGGGGGAGAACTGGAGGAGATGGGAGCAAAGCTTCATCTTTACCTCACAGTATCGAATGCAATAAATAAACCAGAATAGTATAGGATTGCAGGGCTGAAGTGCTGAAGAGGACACCCAAAATTATTATCTCAAACCACCCTGTAAAAAAAAAAAACCCTGAGACCCTGGAGATCCACGGCCACTCTGAGTAGACCGGGGTGGGGGTGGGGAGAAGCTTGCAATACTCGGCCATTTCATGTTTTTCCTCTGGACCCTAGGCTCAGACCATTTATATTTGCAGTGTGTGTGTGTGTGTGTGTGTGTGTGTGTGTGTGTGTGTGTGTAGGGGGGGAGGTTTGGGAACAGCCAGGGTTAAAATATAGAGTTCAACTCAAGGAACTTCAGTTTTACAGAGAAATCTTAGCCCCTAATGTGTGGCTCCAATGGAAAGCTGCTATAATATCTTTAATTGTGTTTTTCTGTGTCCTTTATAAAGTTTATATCTCTGCTACCTGGCATTACATTTTATGAAACTCATGTCCTGGCTTGACAAAGTCCAATTTATGTCAAATCTGGGCCTCATAAGAAATGAGTTCGACACCCCTGTGCTAGAACATGCTGATCTCACCCTTGCAAAAGCAATTGATATTTGCAGAGCTCAACCCTTAGCTCATGTACAAGCCCTAGCAATGACTGTAATGGCTCCAGTGACTCTGCATGCAATAGCACAGAAACAAAAGCAACCAAGACACAAAGTAACTTTTAAGTTTCCAAGCAACACTCCAGCCTTAAGAGATAGCATGTGGCTGCAGTCAGAAGCTCAAAGCCTGCCCTGCTTTTGGAATCACTTGCTACAAATGTGGAACACAGAATCGTTTTCAAAGGTATGCAGGAGCAAACAGGCCCTCACTCAGTGAGAGAAGAGTTTGAACTTCTTGTTCATGGGAGTAATTACACCACCTCAGCCTAGGGGAGAACATTACAGTTCTGGGCCATGGTTTTCCACCATTAGAATAAGAGAAGAAGAGATTGGATTTAAACCCCGCCCTTCACTACCCAAAGGTGTCTCAGAGCAGCTTACAAACTCCTTTTCCCTTCACCTCCCCACAACAGACACCCTGTGAGGTAGGTGGGGCTGAGAGAGCTCTTGGCAGAAACTGCTCTTATCAAGAACAGCTCTTATCAGAGCTACGGCTTGCCCAAGGTCATCCAGCCAGGTGCAAGTGGAGGAGTGGGGAATCAAACCTGGTTCTCCCAGATTAGAGTCCATGCACTTAACCACTACACCAAACTGGCTGGTGTTCCTGTATCTTGTAGCTGGTGTTCCTGTATTTTGCAAGCTGGATAGTGGTGCTCAACCAGATACTTTATCTGAAGTCATTGTCTCTACCCTGCTGGTTACTGTGCAGGTAGCACCACCAAATGTCATTCTGGTCGCTTTTGGAGGGTCCAAAGTCAGGCTGAAAGCACCCTGCATGATTGGCTCTCAAACAGCCATGCTGACCTTCTATGTCATGGAGAATGATGAATCACCCCTGCATGGCAAATCAGTCCACTCCTTGGCTTCTAAAAATGATTTTTCACAAACCTACGTAGATGTCTTTCAAGAGTTTGGACAGTTCCCCGGCACCTACCATATACATATAGATCCTGAGATACTGCTGGTGACCCTTGGTTGTCGCAAAATTCCCTATGCTATACTACCTGCACGCAAGGGAACCCTTAACTATCTGGAAAAGACCAAAGGCATCTTTAGGGTGATGAAGCCAACTGCATGGGTTAATAGCCTTGTCATTACTCAAAAGAAGAATGGATCACTTCACCTTTGCCTAGACTCCCAAGCCCTAAACAAAGCCACCCAGCAGCAGCACTTCTCCATCCCTATCATTGAGGTTGTGCAGCAAAGTCTGACTAGCAAATTCTTCACAAAAAAGCCACCCAGCAGCAGCACTTCTCCATCACTACCATTGAGGATGTGCAGCAAAGTCTGGCTAGCAAACAATTCTTCACAATCTTGGATGAAAAGGATGGCTACTGGCAGATCAAGCTCAACAAGGAATCCGGTGGATTGTGCACATTCAGCACTCCATGGGGTTGCTACTATTTCAGTAGGATACCTTTTGGCATTAAGACAGCTATTGAAGTTTTCCAGCAAAATAATCATGAGTGCTTCTGTGGCATCCCAGGTGTGCACATCATCGCAGATGATATGATCATTGCAGCCTCAACAGAAGACCATCTGTTCCTTGAACAAGTCCTGAAGAGGGATTGCCAGAAAGGTGTGAATTCTACCCCAACAAAGTTCAGTTCATGGTTGACAAAGTCAAGTACATGGCACACATCATCTCTAAGGATGGTCTTCAACCCCACAACATCAAAGTACAGGCCATAACTCGGATGTCCCCACCAACAGATAGAAAAGGTATACAACATCTCTTGGGTATCATACAGTATATCTCCATGTACATCCCTAATGAATCAGCCCTGACAGCACCTCTACGTGTGCTCCTGTGGAAAGATGCAGCCTGGAAGAGGGGTTGAGCTTAGCAAGATGCATTGGGCGCTCTTAAGACAGCCATCACCACAGCTCCTGTGCTCAGATTCTTTGATCTGACAGAGCAGCTGGTAGTCCAAGTGGATGCCTCCAAAATGACTTGGGTGCCTGCCTGCTCCAAGAGATGCAGCCCATTGCTTATGTCTCTTGAGCTCTTACACAGGCTGAGCAAAACTATGTGCAGATTGTTGTCACCATGGGGGAAGCTTAATCAATATGTGTTTGGTGTACCAGGAGTGGTCCAGTCACATCACAAGGCACTGGAAGCAATCTTCAGTGATCACACAGTGGCGAACTTGCCCCGCCTGCAGTTTCCAAGGACTGTGTGATTGCGCAACTACGGGTCAAATTCCTCCAGAGGAAATAACCTCGCTTCCCGCCCGCTTTATCTCACGTGTGTGACCTGTCCCCATATGATAGGTATTTCATTTGGAGACATGTCACTCTAGGGGATACCCATGTAAAGAGGGGGGATGTAATACATAGAACCTGTATCTTTAAGAGAAAGGTTTAGGTCCTAAGTGGAACTTCCTCTGTTCACATGAATGGGTGTGTCTTCTGGAATATACTAGTTAGAACTGGGTTGTTGGTAGGATTCCAGCCATTGTTAAATCTGGGTTGTTTTGCCTTGCTGTTCTGCACATTAAAGAAGATTTTGAAGATATCCTGCCTGCTGCGTTTCTCTCTGGCCTTAGGGCAGACCATTTACCTACCTCCAGAATGAGTACATTTTACAGAGGAGCTGAATACCACAGGGGGGGGGGTTCCTACACAAACATAGCACTGAGCAGGGAGGCATGAGTGAATACTGGATCACCAAACCTGTGAGGGTGATCTTGAGATGGGAAAGGAAAAGGCAATAAAAGAGGTGACTGAAGTGGAAAGTGTGAGATTCAGTAGCAGACTTGGATTGAGCAAAATGTGTGCTTGAGTCATACCACAGATACATTTCTAGTTATTAATGGTTGTGTGTTGGAACAGTTGGTCACAGAACTTGAGTCCGAGTGGAGATCAAGGCCTGGCATCAGATGTAGATGTTTTAAACCACTTGGGAACAGTGAGCACAATGCTATTTATTTCAGCATTAATTTAATGGAAAGATGTCCCCTAAATCCAAAATGATCACATTTGATTTCAAAGATGGGACTTTACAAAACTGAGGAGACTAGTGAGAAGGAAGGTGTGACAAACCTCTAATCAAACTCACGCAGCCCCCTAAATTGGGGGGGGGCAGGCTGTTTTAAATAAAACCTTCACCAGGGTTTTTACTCTTGGTAGAATATATGGTCATGTAAAGGGAACCTTTACCTTTAAAGGCCATAGGGTTTGTTGCTGTAAGACAAGTTTTATGGAGTGTGAGTACATCACTAATAACACTGAGGAAAGCAACAAAGATTTTTTTAAAGGTATCGAAAAAGAACACTTCAACAGAGCCAGACTTCCCAATACAGTCTAGGAAAACCTGGTGGTGGCATTTAGAATTATTTACTTAGATACACCTTCAGGATGGATTTTAGATTCTGTTTCTGACAATCATTTACAGCCTGGTTAGATCTTCTCAGACACACAGGATTCTAACCATGCCAGTCTGGCCTTTTCCTCAACAATCGGATTAAACTATTAGAGGTCTGCTCATCACCAGAGACAGGCATAAAACCAGGTACTCTGTCCTCTCCCAGAGGTAGGGCTAATACCTTCCTGCATTCTTTTTGAGGCACAGCTACATGCAAAACTGTCAGCTTTCTACATGAGGCAGACCTGAGACTCTCAGTTGTTGTAGTTCCCCCTACATTCAGTCATCCAAGGTGATTGGAAGTTAGAGAAGCATCTGCTTCACCAGCCTTTTTTAGTTTTTTGAGAAGGATAACAAGTGCTTGGGTAGAGGTGATCTGTAGACATATACCTGGATTTTAAAAAGGCTTTTGACATGGTCCTTCACCAAAAACTCCTGTATAAATTTAGCAGTCATGATATAATAGGAGAGGTCCTCAGACTATATTGTGTTATCCAGGACTTTGCTGCCTCAAGCAGTACACTGTGCAGTTTCAAATAGATCTGTCCTAACAGCTCTTGCAGAGCCAAACTACTAGAGAGCCATTTTCCCCTTTAATGCCTTACCAAAAAGATTTAAATTTCACCGAGCCTGATAACCTTTATAACCTAAGGAGTCCATAAGTAATTTCAGTATCTGGAAACATTGGCTGTTTGAAGACAGCTCCATCCCAAACTGGGAGGGAATTGCAAAAGAGAGTGAGCAGGGAGTAAGATCATCAAGGAAGGTGAACCTGATGTCCCCCCCTCTCTCTTTCACACACACACACACACACACACACACACACACACACAGAGAGAGAGAGAGAGAGAGAGAGAGAGAGAGAGAGAGAGAGAGAGAGAGAGAGAGAGAGAAACTGTCTCTCCCAGTACTCCTAGAAGTGGGCAGGCAAAGGGAGTGATCCAAATGCAGAGGAACAGGAGGTAGTCCTAAAAGAAGGTATTCCACAGATTTTGTTCTTGATTTTGGATTTCACATGAACCAATATGGCCATTTCCAACTATTCTGAAGAGGCAATACATGTGACTTGCTCCCCATTCTGGAATACAGTTCATTTGTTCATAATGAAGTTAGCCATATAGGATCATAATTCACGTATATTGTTTGCACATAAATTATTTGCAGGTGTACTATATAATCTAAAAAGTAAACATTGCTAACTTTTTTTTAGTCATAAGCTTTGCCCCCTCTATGAAGTATTTGTAAAGCATAAAGTTTTTCCGTGCAAGGACCCTTGCTCAGTGTTTTCTTAGCTGTCAGTCCCATAGCAGTGCACTCACGTTGAGCACTGAGCTTACACATATATTCTCTCCCTCTACAGTTTTTCAGCTGTCTCGTTCATTTAGTTTCATACCAACATCATAATTCAATTGGGTTTCCTGAGCGAGGATGCTGTTGTCACCAGTGGTGGCATACTACCTCCACATGCACTATATGGATATACTGACGTACTGCTAGAATAAGGGCCAGGTCGTGCCCTCCTCCCTGATGCACATGTGTAAGAATCACAAATTGTTCCTATGGGCAAATACCCTCTATTCGACAGTTCACCTCAAGATGTGGACATTTGGGATTGCAGTTTAAAAAGTTTTCCCAGTGACAAACTGCAGGCAAATGGAGAGGAGTCAATTAATCACCCATCTAGTCAACTGCTTTCAAGCAGCATTGCTTAATGTTTAGTCATGTAAATGTCTCTAGCAGACTAAGAACAATGAAGCGGGCCAGCAACAATCCAAACCGGAATCAAAAGTGATAGCAAATAACTCCAAAACCCATAAAATATAAAATTCCCATGAAAAGAAACATGGGGAATGAATATCAATGTGCAGGCACATCTTACAAAGACGTATTGATAGGCAATATTTCCCCCTCTGCAAAGAGCAGAGGCTGAGTAGCCAGAAAGAACAATGAGTGCTTCTCTGACATACATGTATTGCTTGGTTTAGATTTGGTTTCTGTTGAAGGAAATCTGTAAGTGCAATGAAGCAAATGGCCATGGCAAAAAATAGGTTGGGGAGGAGGACAGAGAAAGAAAAGATAACAATTGCTGCAAAAATGTGCGAAGAGCAATGATCACTTCGGTGTCTTCTTATAATGATATATCACTATCAGGAAAGTTTTTTAAATTAATATATGAAAATGTGTCAATGCAAGGGATAAAAATTCCTTATTACCAAGTTGGGGGGTGGGAAACAGCACAGGATGCAGATGTCCTACAGTCACAGTTCAGTCAGCAGGATTTAGGAAGTGGGCAGGAAGTGAAAAGAAAATTACACATGGGTACAAATGTGAGTCAAAATTGGTTGTTAGGAAAAGATCAGGATAAAAGTGGTTCCAAAAGACCCAGAAAAAATAAGCAGAGAAGTGGCAAGATGATAACTAATGGCTAAATAGAACAAGTGGAAACCAGGGGATAAAGCGGAGCAGATTGGGGCCAAAACTTATGCAGTAATGGCATGTCTTGTCCTTATAATATGTTCTTTTCCTAGGATGATTTATTAGCTTGACTGTAAAATATGGAAGTTAAGATTCTCTTCATGTATACACAACGTTTCCTGATCTACAAGACTCTTCATCATCTTTGACTAATAACAGTAGTAGTAGTAAAAATTTATTGTATAGCCATTGGCCATTACAATTTAAAATTTAAATTTAAACAATACACAAATTAGACAATTTACAGCACTGGAATTTGAATTAGATTTAAAATATAATAAGCTCTAAAATCTGCACATTCAGTATTTAAATTAATTAGAATTTTAAATATAGATACCCATCTCCAGAAATACATACACATTACCATTTTACATTGCCGTTTTACAGTTCAATTTCATTTCATTTTCCTATGTTCTTGGCCCTGATTTTACTAGCCGCTAAGACGAAGAGTGCTACCCTATAGGAAACTGTAGGGTCTGCGTCTGACAGCAGAAATATTAATTTATCAGTGTCAGAATTTTTTTGCAATTGATCTGTTATTGCAGTCAAGAATTTACATCTCAGTTCCCAGTACAATGGGCAGACCATGACATAATGAAAAAGATCCTCCACAGAAGTTTTACAGATACAAATATGTTGTTCCTAGGGTATTTTTAAGTATCGTCCCAGGAGTAATTCTGTTGGCATAGTCTGGAAACGCAATGCTGTAAATGCTGTTCTAAGCTTGTATGTGGTAATATTTACATGTAGGGTTGATTAATACTCGGCATTTTAACTTAAAGTCCTCGTTTAGAAAGTTTACTACCTTAATTTGCGTACTTGGGAAAATTAAAATTTGGAAGAAAATACTGTTTTTCAGACTGTTTGTTCTGACATGGTTGTTTTCATTTTTCCCCATCAGAGAATAGTTTCACACAAACACCTTTCTATGCAAGAACGTGGTAAATTGCATCAAAACACATGAAACAGCATGGTGGGGGGGGGGGGATAATGGAATCTCCCTAGTTTCCCAAGTGCAGCCTTGCTACTGGATACAAAAAAATCGGCACAAGTTCATAAATAGTCTATGCTTTATGATAAACTGGCCATAGTAGTGGGAATAGTAGAAAAGGAAGATTTGTATTGGTGATCTTACAATATAAATTTCATCATGTCAAGTGCGACTGAAGGGACATGTGATTACACAGCACCTTATTCAGGGCTGTGGAAGAGGTCATGATCACTGCCTGCAATATTATTGGAGGAGTGGTGAGAAGCAAGAAAACTGATTTGCAGAGAAAGTGAATAGTTGACAGTAAGTCATAATTAACAAAATGGAGAAGTCATAGTTAATGGCAGGGTAAGTACATTTAGGGCAAACTCTCTGCAGCAGCATCACCAGCAAATAAAAGTGGCATAATGCAGACAAACTGCATAAAGTGTTTGAGGATGTACCGCAAAGCAGGGGCAATTTCACAGTTGCTTGTGATGTCTGGTAAGAAAAGTTCTTGTCCATCTGCCCCATCCATGATGCAAGATTAAAAGAGAAAATTGCATTGTCAAGCGTGCACTAACTCTTTATTTCTTTTTCAGCACAAATTGAAGTGATACCATGCAAAATTTGTGGTGACAAGTCCTCTGGAATACACTATGGAGTCATCACATGTGAAGGCTGCAAGGTATGAGATTTGTATGCATTGCCCTTGTTTTCTGTGCTTGTGGTTTTTTATCATTTCAAACAGAGGAGAGAGAACAACAAATTCTAGTAGGGAGATTTGGTGTTAGTTGAATGATGTTTCTTTCCAGGCTGAGCAAATTGTACAAGTTGTATTCCTGGCCCCACAATCAAATTATTTTATAAATGGTGCTGTGTTTAAATTTTGGAATTATTGATGGCAGTTTCAGAGTACAATCTTACAGAGATCAACATCAGAGTTTCTCATTAGAAATTGTCTTCAATGTTGCTTTCATTTTATGTTTTCTTCTGGTTATGTAAATTAATCCAGGGTAGATTTAAGGATAATAATAATTTCAAAATGAATTATTTTATTTTATTTATTATTTACTTTGTTTGTACCCCACCTTCCTCCCCAATGGGGACCCAAAGTGGCTCACATTGTCCTCCTCTCATCTGTTTTATCCTGACACATTCTGCTCTTTGGACATTTTCTAATTCCCGTCAGGATTGTCCAAAATTTCATTCTTCCACCAGAAATGTTCCAAATGTGTAAAAATTACTGTGGTTAAGATTATATTAGTGAAGATATAGGGAATGATCATATATTTTGTGATGTCAAATGGATTTCAGTGAGAACCATAAGACCCTAATGTAGCAAAAATGAAAGACAAAACTTTTTAATTAAGTGATCTGAGCCAGAAATCCCTAATTAGCTAGTCTACTTCCCAAACTCCAGGCTGTATTAACTTGTGCTTATTTATTTATTTATTTATTTATAATATTTATTTAATTAGAGGCCAGTGAGGTGTGATGCTTGCAAGTCACACTAGAAAAGAGCAAGAGTCCAATAGCACCTTAAAGACTAACAAAATATATGCAGAACTCTGAGGGGAAGAAGTGAGCAGTGACTCACAAAAGCTCATACCCTGCCACATATTTTGTTAGTCTTTAAGGTGCTACTGGACTCTTGCTCTTTTCTACTGCTACAGACAGACTAACACAACTACCCATTTTGATCTATGTCACACTAGGACCAGATAAATCCCCAAGTTTTAAATGTTGGTAAAAAACAAATGAATTTAAATAAACCAAACAACCCCGCTAGAAGTAGTTTGACAAGCCCCAGCTGCTCATCATCACTCTGTGGCACTTCTACTGCTTAGGGGAAGCTTTGGGAAGTGACTGTTTTCTGTTGCCTTCCTATTTCAGGTGACCACCCCTTGTCTTAAAGACCCAACCTCAGTATTAGTTCCAAGCTCAGAAGTTAGTGAGGCTGGTGTGCCTCAAGGGAATCCACCACCCACATCTATGCTGGCTTATAGGCAAGGAGTAGGGTTGCCATACCCCAGTTGGGGGCAGGGGATCCCCCACTTTTGCAGGCTCTTGTCCACCACTGGCCAGCTGGCTGATGGGAGGACATCCCTCCCAAAAACAGTGACATCTCTGGAAATAAACGTGACGTGCCTACGTCAACTGGAAGTGATGTAGGCACGTTTGTGACATGGAGGGGGAGGGAGTGATGCTCTGGTTTGAGGCTGATTTTACCATAGAGTTTTGCCCAACAATCAGCGTGTCACCCGCAATGTCACCATCACACGAAGTCACTTCCGGCTCCCAGAACATCTGGCATTTCCAATGGGCTTGGCAACTCTACCAAGGAAAGGTTGTTTGGAATTTTCCCTTCAACGCTATACAGTGACAGCCTAACCAGAGTTAGGTCCATTAAAGTCAACAGACTTAGAGGGTGGTACTCTGCTGAAGATGGCACTGTTGATTTCTAGCAATGGGCAGCTACTTCATACTCAACCAGAAACCACTCATAATTTTTTGCAAACATCACAGATGAACATTTGAAAATGCTTAATGGGTATTTGTGATTGTTTGGTGGCATACTCACAAAATACATACACACAGACATTTCTGCAGCAGCATCTTGAAATCTGTGTTTTCCCCATTTTCAGTTTTGGGATATTTTCCTTATTGTAATCCACACAAGACCTACAGTGCTTGGGCTGGGAAAATCCACATCTCTTTATCATGGTTACAGCAATGGATTAGTCGGATTGATCTGATCATTTAAAACCCAGTACAAGGACAATTAGAACAAGTGTTGCTTTGAGCAGAAAAAGAGTTCTTCCTTGTCTCTGTGCATCCAGTCTGTCCAGCACTGCTCCAAGGCTGAGTCCAGTTTAGATGTGATTAGCATTAATGGTTACTCTTGTATGTGCCTATGAGCAGATGATCCCCCTCAGCTCTGCTGCGTATAGACAGCTCATGCAGATAAGGAGAAGTGCTTCCACTTCAAGCAGGTTTAGCCCTATTGTTTTTGAGCCACTTTTAAAGTATCAAATCAATTAGCTTAATCCCTTTTGTTGCAGCCATTCTGTACTGTGTGTGAGGGGGGAGATGCCGGTTTCCATTGCAGGAAATATTTGAAGGTCTGCTTCTGTGATCTCAGACATATATCTATATATCTTAGGATGCAAGCTACTGTTACTGCTAGTATTTTCATCTGTGGGACCAGAAAGCATTTTTTACTCTGTTACACATACAAACACACCTCCATTATCCTCAAATACAATGCTATCTTTTAAATAATTGATTCAAATGAATCCTCTTTACTTCCCAAGGTAAGAGATGTGATAGAATATCAAAGGGAATTTCACAGTTTATCTATGGTAATTTCTAAAGGGTAAATACAAGAGCAATATAAATCTGTTCAACCCCAAAATGCATTACATCATCTGAATATCTCTTTGAATTTCATACCAATCAACATTTACTATTTGGAATTAGGATTTGAAAGCTTTCCCAGTGGTAAATGAACCACCACAAATTTTACCTTCTAAATCCTTTCCTCTGACCACACTTCCCACATATTTGTTATTTTAACCTGCTTTAACAGCCACATATTGCCTCACAGGAATAAAAATATAAATTACAATTAACATTAAATAAAAATATTGCTTGAGGAGAGGATTCTAAGGGGGCTGTTTCCTGTCCTCCCTCTCATGTTTTAAAAGCAATGTATAGACAAACAACTAAGGTACAGATGTTTGCTAACATGGGAAAATTTAATGAGTAAACCATTTCAGCTCTGAGAATGTTCTATGCCTAGTGTGGTTAATCCCTACACAAAATCTTGGCAAGTCTGTCTAGGAGCCATACTTCTGTCCTGAAAGCTGTGGTTCCTCAGTAATTTCATGTCACTTCTATACTTGCTGAGTGGTATTCTAATCCTTATTATGTTGCAAAGATGAATACTGGCACGTAACAGATTCTGTGGCTAAACCCTGACAAACTAAATTTATACTCTTCTCTCCAAGTAGTTCTTGGTGACATACAGATCCTGTTTTTCATAACCATGGCCCCATGATGTAGGTTAGGCAGAGAATGTGTGATTGACCCAGGTTCAGCTAGTGAGTATCATGTGAATGGGGATTCAGACCCAAGTCTCACTGGCCTAACACTTTAACCACACTAGCTATCCAATCTGAACAGCCTGGCACATGGAAAGATCGTTATTTTCATATACAACACTGCATGAAGATGTTCATTATTTTTATGGCTTTATTAGTTCATGGCAAAAACAAACTGCATTTCACTGCAAGCCATTTTCACTATGTTTGTGGTGTTAGGGTACCCCACTGTATGCAGTGATCTAGCTTTGTATCTCTCTCGTTCTCTCTTTCTTTCTCTCACTAGGGATTCTTTAGAAGGAGTCAACAGAACAATGCCTCATATTCCTGCCCAAGGCAGAGAAACTGTTTAATTGACAGAACCAACAGAAATCGTTGCCAACACTGCCGACTGCAGAAGTGTCTTGCCCTAGGAATGTCTAGAGATGGTAAAGAGCTTGCTTCCTGCTTCACAGATCAATCCTTTGAAACTGTTCTCCATTGCTCTCTGCTTTTACCCCCAACAGATGTCTTGAGAGGAAGAAAGGCAGCTTGCTGCTCTGTAACATAGACTGGTGCGGTTTCCAAAACCGGAGGCATTTTAATAGGGTGTATGGTGTGCAAGTGGGGAGGAAAATAACAATGGATGAGGAGGCAGCATGAGAATGATAAAGTGGTTCTAAACATGGTAACTTGTTACTGAGCTGGATTTGGGAGAGAAGAGCTGAAAAGAGTACTAGGCCTCTGTTCTATACAACCATAACACAAGAGGGGGAGCAGCATGCGTACAACCTGAGGTGATTTAAAAAGTTTTGACTGCTGCCGATCACCCAGTGGGAAGGGAAACTGATTTCAGATTTAAAATCCATTTGAAGCGTGCTTGTTCAGTGGGCTGATCAGCTACCATAAAAACTTTTTAAACAGTCTACTACAAGTATAGGACCGCGTCTGCTGTAACTACATTTGCTCCAAAGAATAAGTCATAATTGAGACACCATCCAACTGGGGATTTAAAGCATCTCATGTACATTTTTGAATGATAAATCTTCTTCAAGTATAGCCTTTCAAAGAAAAAATAAAATGAAAATAAATCTCACACAGAGTGAGGGCTCCTATTTAAAACAGAAGGCTGTACATAAATTATAAAGAAGCCTAATTCAGGCATCTCATTTTTCAAGAGAGAGAGTGGAGAATGCATAGGATGCTGCAAACAGAAATATAATAAAAAGGGCATTTCTTCCTCTTTAGTAATATTAACTTCCCCTATAAAGGACCAAGGTTTTATGGATTGTGTCCAACCTGTCAAGTTATCCATTTCTTCATCAGTAATGGTAATGAAGTAGAGTTGGTTTGCTATTGCCCCATTTCATGTGCTCTGAATGCAACTTTATCTCTAACTGAAGGACCCTCTTAGAAGCGTCATTGTAAAATGACATGACTCTGTATGGAGATCAGAATAATATAATATGGTTTATATTTAATTCTAGGTAAGAATCTTAATATGTTTGTATGCAATGTCTTACCACACAAATAGTTTTGTTATTTAATTCATGGGTGCAAGAAGCTGGTCAGTCTAAGGAAAGTGAATAAGGCTTGTCTTTAAAATATAAATGGATGTTAACATTCAGCATTCCTCCTTTTCAAGTCCTTTCTTCCCCTGAAAAGTTACTGAAATTGTGTTGAAAGTACTGCCATTAAAGGAGGATCTCCCAACTGCCCTGGAGGGTTTTGATGCAACATCACTCAAGTGTTTGGATATGCTGTCAGTACTGTGCCCTTGACCTGTCCAAAAGTTCTCAAAAAGTTTGAAACCCTTTATCATAGATTTCTATTATTTGGTCAGGAAGGCAGAATCACCCCATGATGCTTGTCAATCCTTTATAGTTTAGCCATTCAAATAGAGACAATGAAATGTAATGTTCAGAGGGAGTTTGGAACAGTCTTTGTTGGAATTCTTTTTAACCCAAAGGGACTGTGTAACACTCCTACCTCAGTTGTTTATGACACCTGTTTCTAGCACAAATGCTAATGGACAGCAACAGGAGAGGCCAATTAATGAAAATATAAAAAGAAGCAGCAAGGATTTTTGCCCTTTCTGGGACTCTGATTGTAAAAGAATCCTCTGTCTTATAAAACCCACTGGCTTGGATTCAGCAGAGTGTTTCTGCAGAGAGAAGGAGTTCTGTCCACAGAGCACAACTTTGTTACCTCTTCCATCCCATTGTAGCCCATTTGGGGCAGAATCCAGACAGCCGTCCAGCAACAGATAGAACTGGGTATCATCCACATATTGATGGGACCCCAGCCCAAATCCCCAGACCAACTGAGTGAGAGGGCACATATAGATGTTAAACAATATTGCTAAGAGAATCACCCCCTGTGGTACTCCACAGTCAAGTGGGTATTGCTGAGAGATCTCCCTGCCAAGCACCACCCTCTATCCACGACCACTGAGAAAGGAGGAAAACCATTGTAGGGTCATCCCCTAAACTCCTATGTTGGCGAGGTGGTGGGTCATAACATCATAGTTCACCGTGTCAAACACTGCTGTCAGATCTAAAAGTAATAGCAGCGCCGACCTGCCCCAATCCAGGTGTCTCCGGAGGTCATCCGTAAGGGCAATTAGCACTGTCTCTGTCCCATAGGGCGAAAACTAGACTGGAACAGGTCAAGGATGGATGCATCGTCCACGATAACCTGGAGCTGTTCAGCCACTGCCCTCTGTTTATGATATTTACTGACTATTGTATTATTCAGGGTTTTTTCGTATTAATTATTAGATTCCTTGGGTGCTCTTGAACAGAAAGGTGGCATATATATTAAAAATAAAATCTCTCCAAATAGATGACCCCTAACTCTACAGTAATATAGAAATCTGATGTTAAATAAAAAATTTAGTCACCACATAAATGGTGATGTAAGATGTAAAACTCCCTTTCATTTTCTGTCAGTCTTTCTGTTCCTTGGAATGAATAAAGTCTAAATATTGTATTTAAATGGCAACACGATTATAGCTAGCAAAATTATAAATAGTAAACTTGCCACAATTACCTTAAAATCTATGTGTAATGGTTAGCACCTCTGTTTATTACCTGTTGAGCTGCTGTGGCTCAAGTGGTTAAGACGCTGAACTGCAGGCTGTGGAAGGTCAGTAGTTCAGCGGTTCAAGACCCGGGTGCTGCAAGACAGGGTGAGCTCCTGTCTCTAGCTCCTGCCAACCTAGCAGTTCGAAAGCAAGAAATTGCAAGTAGATAAATAGGTACCACTTCGGTGGGAAGGTAACAGCCTTCCGTGCGCCTTGGTGTTTAGTCATGCCGGCCACATGACCACGGAAACGTCTTCGGACAGCGCTGGCTCTTCGGCTTTGAAACGGAGATGAGCACCGCAACCCTAGAGTCGGATTCGACTGGCTTTCGAGCAAGGGAACCTTTACCTTTATTACCCCCAATAACTATATATACCTATTACCTGTATATATCATGACCTATGTTATTATGGATAGCTCAGGCTAGCCTGATCTTGTCAAATCTCAGAAGCTAAGCAGAGGTGGCCCTGGTCAGGATTTAGACGGGAGACCACCAATGAATACTAGGGTCACTACACAACGGCAGGCAATGGCAAACCATCTCTGAATGCCTCTTGTCTTGAAAACTGGCTTTGACTTGATGTCAAAAGAAAAAAGGGGGAAAAAGCATCGGGGTAGAGCTTGTCACCCCGATTCCATACCCTCCCAACCTGTGTTCATTGTTCCCAACAAGTCAGGTTAATGGCTCTTCATTGAGTTCAACCCAGGTTTTAAAAAACAGGAAGACATGTGAACCAAACCTGATTCATTTGTATGGTAGGAGACATAAGTCACATACAATAGGAGCCTGATTAGAACTTTTGTTAAGCTTGCTTTCCATTACCCTAGACATTTTAAAAAGCCTTTCCAGATGTTACATTTTGCCACGCTGTGTCAAGTTGCAGTGGCAGGAATGGCCACTAAAATATTTTTTGGCAGGAGAATCTCCACTCAGTCCAGTGCCACTGTCCTCGCAATGGTAGCATGTATTGATTTTGGTATTAGCTGAGGACTACTGCCCACACCACACTTCACTGTCACACCACCAAACACAGCTGTGAAAAAAAGCCAAAAAAATATTTAGTTACTTGCTTGCCGGAGCTTGCTGCTAGTAAAGTTACCCACTCTGCCCCCTGAGTTAAATCATGATGGTACTTCCGAAGTACACTTTCCCTCCCTTCTCCCTCCAAAAGTTCCAAGGGCACGAATGGGCTGTTGCTGGCTTTCTCTCCAGACCATCAGGGTATGAAGGGGATGGGGCAGATATGAAAATGGTGACAGACAGGCTCTGTCTGTCTCACACGTGTATGGGCAGAAGGTACAACATGCAATCCTTGCAATATGCACAACTTCCATTTTGCCTGTAGGGGCAACATGTATATTTTGAACCTCAGCACACGAGAGTTATGCTACCCATGCTGCCCCTTTCAGACAAAATAATGATCATGTGTATCAGGAGGATTATGTAACATGTTTTTTTCTATCTGCATGTTATACCATGGTAAAGGTGCTAAAGTTTAGTACTAATATTTTTTTTTTTTAAATCATGTGTATCAGGAGGATTATGTAACATGGCAAAGGTGCTAAAGTTTAGTACTAATATGTGTGTTTTTTTAATTTATGTGGGTCAAAGGGGAAAAACACAGGAACAAGATGAGTCACAGCCCAGATTGGGCACAACATCATATAGACAGTCCTGCTGCCAGGGGCAGGGTAGTGTCCCCATATGGATGCACCCTTAAAGTCCTTTTAGTGTTGCCAAAGGGCATGATGCTTTATTGCCAAGAAGAGTGAAGCCTGTATTACCAGAAACAAGGAGGATCCACTGGTCAATCTGCCTTCTTCTCTTTCATACACCACCGAATGCCAGCACACATCAAATTCGGCAATAGCACCGTGAAAAGATTACTCTTGCTTTACCTCTTGCAAATGACAGAGAAGTGGCTTTGCATTATAACATCAGTTTATTCCAACAGTCAACAATTTTCTCCCTTTCTTCTCAAGAGGAATGAACACATTTGGCACTTTAAGATTATATGTTGCAAATGTATGGCTGGAAAATAATCCATGAATGTTGCTTTTTTGGAGGAAGTGGCATTCCTATAGAGTGTTTACCTTCAAGACTGTTATTTTCCTCTAGGCCTTAACTCTAACCTGTAACATTCTTTTTTTAAAAAAATAAGTATGTGAAGATAACAGCCCCGTTGACAGGTTGTGATAATAGGGCTTTAGGGCTTGTTATCTTCAGAAGGTACTAATCCTGTTAGTGCACAGATTAAAGGTTTGGAGAAAATTGATAAAACACACAGGATACAAATCTGAAGGCTGTACATTTTAATAGAGCTCTGGTTTGCTGTTTGGTGAACATGTAGAGATGAGAAAAAGAAATGGCAGGCCTGCTCATTATTCACAGCAGGGTGCTGGCTGCCTGGCACATTTGCTTGGAAGGATATCCTATTGGTTTCAATCAAATTTACTTTTGTGCAAATGATTGTGGTTAGGATCACAACTAGGCCCTAAGGCTTTGTCTGTCAAAAAATACAGCAGCAGGCTTACTGCAAATGTAAGACAACAGCATGTTATCCCTTTTGTGATGACAACACACTCTGTCTGCCCTGATTTACCAGAGACTGCCCTTCTTTTCTGAAACCTGTAAACCACTGACTGTGGTTTGTTTGTCCTTATTTTTGCATTCTGGGCTGCCTTGTTAAAATTTTGTTAGTGTGGATTGCTACAACTGTCATTTCTTCAGGGTTTAACTTTCTCCCCAGTGGTTCTATAAATTAAATCTGTAAATGGGGAATGGATGCATTTTGTCTCTAGAAACAAATATTGAATATGCACAAGGACCATAGAGATTTGATATTTGTGATTTGTTATAGAGAGACAAAAAAACGTATGGAAAGGGCAAAACACCCTTAAACCCCTTCAGATGAATATTGGCTGAGTTCAGACTGGCAGTTTGCCCCGAGATAGGCATGTGCCAGAAACGTTTCACAAATGGATTAAAGTGCCAGTTCACACAGGCACATTTGTCAGGCGTTCCCCAGTCGTACTCAGCCCGTCTTGTAGCGCTTGCCTCTCGAGTTTAAAAAGTACCTGGTGAAAGTGGTAGCAAACCCTGGAGAGTGCGATCATCCTGCACCATCAAAGTGTAAATGCTGAAAGCTGCAATTGTTTATGCGCTTATGCGCATATGTCCGGATTACCAAAAAGAAAGCCACACTTTATAGCCGTGCCTCCGCCAGGAGCGGGCCAACGGTGCGAACGCTCCCTTGAGCCTCCTCCCTGGTATGCTCCCGCATCAATCGGTGCAGTGTGATCGGGAATATCTGGAACAAGTTGTTCCGGGTCTTTTTTGCCACGACTCCCTCGCACTTCAAACTGCCAGTCTGTCCTCGGCCATTATATATCTAATTCCTATCTAATTCTGAACTGGTCATAGACTGTAATTTCAAAGATCTGCAAAATGGATGTAGGGACAGATAGGGTGGATTTCGCGACAAACCTGAAGGAAGTCCTAAATCTGCAGAAAATCTTAATCTAAAAAAAGCAAACAAAACCCCTAAAACTTCCTCAAATAAGAGAAGCAATGCTACCCTTTATGGGTCCCCCACTAGTTTTATGTCTGAAATGTAACAAACTAATCCAAAGCATTTGTCACAATAGCATACATTAAAAACAGTGCAAGCAATACAATGAAATTGATAAGAATTAGAAATAATCTACCATATAGTCAGTAATAAAACATCCTACACAATCCAAGCAGTTAGGGTTACCTACTCTAGGCTGGGAAATTCCTGGAGATTTGGGTGTGGAGCCTTGTGAGGGTGGACCTTGGGGATCGGAGGGAACTCAATAGGCGTGTGAGGCCATAGGGTTCACCTTCCAAAGCTGCCATAGTCTCCAGAGGAGCTGATGCTTGTAGTGTGGATATCAGTTGTAATTCCAGGAGACTGACTCCAGGCCCCACCTGGAGGCTGACTATCTGAGGCAGAAGCATCTTCCAGTGTTGAGATTCAGTGATGGAAAACTGCCTGTTTTGCAGCTGTTAAAGGCTGGGAACATCTGTGGAAGGAATGCCAATACATTTCAGTCGAGTGTTAGGTTTGCTCAGCCATGAATCCTCTGGCAGCAGGTCATTTTCTCTGAGCCTCAGTTTCTCCCCCTCTACAATAAGAAAATCAACAAGCTGTCTCACAGAATTGTTGAAAGGATGAATGAGCTAATTACTCTGAAGTGCTCTGCATGCTAAATGTTGTTTATAGAGCTGATTGATAATAAAAGACAACAATTAGTTCTGGCTTTCTTCTTTGATTTGTTTCAGCTGTAAAATTTGGAAGAATGTCCAAAAAGCAGAGGGACAGTCTGTATGCCGAGGTACAGAAGCATCAACAGCGACTGCAGGAGCAAAGGCAGCAGCAGAGTGGCGAAGCTGAAGCCCTGGCCCGTGTCTACAGTAACAGCATCAGCAATGGCCTGAGCAACCTGAACAATGAAACTGGTGGCACTTATTCCAATGGGCATGTCATTGACCTGCCCAAGTCTGAGGGTTATTACAATGTGGATTCTGCCCAACCCTCCCCAGATCAGTCTGGCTTAGACATGACTGGAATCAAACAGATCAAGCAGGAACCTATCTATGACCTCACTTCTGTACCAAACTTGTTTACCTATGGCTCCTGCAACAACGGGCAATTAGCTCCAGGAATAACCATGGCAGAAATAGGTAAGAAACATACTATGTTTAACATTCAGTTTACCTTTTGCATTAATGGCATGTATATATAATTTTATTTCCATTTCAGCATGTGTAGTAGAACTGGAAAGTTGCACTCATAAATTATTGGGCTTGGCTGAGTTTGTTGTGGGTTCTGTTAACAGAATTCCAAAATGTTTACATTTCTTAAATAGAACAATTCATGATCTGATTATAAAGCTAGAATGCCAAAGCTACTGATGAATCAATCAAGTGATAATTACTAAATAAGGAGTTTGTATCAAACGAGCTCATTAACAGAAGGGTTTAATGATCTTTTTGACAACTATACACATTCTTGTCAACAAAGAGATCTGAAGGTGGATCATTAAGAGAACTAACTCTGAATGTAATTACAGTGTGTAACTGCACTGTGTGATCTTTCATTGATCACTCTAACTTTATATGAACAAAATTGTTCTCTGAATTTGGAATAGATGGGGTCGTGCTGTCTGTGTAAACTCTCTGGGGAATACGGAGTCACACATTACCATGCAGTTTTTCAGGCTTGATTCAAATAATAGACAACATGACCTGATTAGCAGTTGCCCCATATAGTAAGTAGTGTCCTGTTGTGATCTGTATGAAGATGAAGGTTCTAACTAAAATCATCAATGGCTTTTTCTTTCAGCCCATGTATTTAAACCCTGTGGGTTCATTCAAAACAAAAAGCTGAATCAACTTTTTGTAAATTTTCCAGCTCAGATGAGGAATGTATTATTTTTTATTGGCTGAGGCAATCCCTTTTGTTATCCTCAAAATTGCCACTTTTATCTTTTTATCAATAAATATAAGAAATTAATATCATCTAATTCTGCAAGAATTTTAGCCAAACTGTAATTCCATGTTATTTTATGGATATTTTTTGTTGTTGCATTTAGTTTTAAACTTTTTAAGTTTTATCCTGTTATGTAAACGTGTTTTAACCCTTCTGTTGTGGAAGGCACACAGTTATGTTATGGCCGATGGCTACAAACATAACAACAAACTTCAAACTACAATCATCTGTGGGGGAGAGAGGGAGGACAACCACAGCATCAGAGGTTTGCCTCTCGCCTGCAAAGCTAACTGCAGATTTGGAAAAGGAATTTTACACTGAAAAAGTAGCACAGAGCAGAGTGTTAACCAGTTCTTCCCCTAGACAATTTTCTTGATCTTTTCAGAAAAACTGAAATCCCTATCACATATTTTCCATGGCATGTCTAGCTTGGCCCTTGGTGTTTGATGATCATAAGGTAGGAATAAGACAAGATACTTCCAGCACTCTTTGAAAATCATACATATAGAAACATCATTTGAAACAAAGCAGCAACCTTCCTAGATCATGGTAATGAGGAGTGATGATACATCCCCTTACACCGACTGTGGGTCAAGAGGTTCCTTTGCTGGGAACCTTCAATCCACATGGTTCTGGGCTGCTGCATGGAATATGGCTCTCCCTTCCATAGTATCCTCTTCTGTCTTGGAATCTTGTGCCCTGCTCCGGGTATCTCACCCCACAGTCTATGATTGTATGCTATAAGAAGAACAAGTTTAGTAACCTTTATAGGATCCATGCACAAAAACCAATGGCCATATGGTGGTTAATCCCCACAGAAATTTTATTCACGCCATTGCAGCTGCCCAGACTTGTACAGTGCAGTCCAAAGCAGAATTACAATCTTTTAAGTCTATTGGAGTCAATAGGATTGAGATGGTGTTACACTGCTAAAGAATGCATATTTATTGTTTGAAAAATTTTCTTTATCACATTTTCTTAAATAGCTGAAGATAGAGCATGTATTGTAATATAAATATAATTCCATCTAAAATTCCTTAAAAATATAAATTCCAGAACAAGTTAATATCCTCTTACTTGACAAAATACCAGAGTTTGTAGTGTTAAAAAAGCTGTCATGTAATCCTGCCGGTGACTATAATTCTATAACTATGGCACCACCACTGACAAGGCTGTGCCCTGTGCAATGATACTTTACCTCCCTCAGGGAACAGAAGTCAATGTGTGTCAGGGAATGAAGAGGCAAATGTTGAAGTAAAAAGTATAGAAAAAATAGGTGAACTAATGTGGTAAGCCAGGGTGTGCAGATGCTCACTGCATGAAACAATTCACAGAAGTTATCACAGTCATTTCTTCATGGTCATATGTAAGCATATGCATAATGTATAACTTTGGGTATGTTTAGTTAACTATATTTTTGTGCAAACATGGCTACTTTGCACAGAACAGTACTGAAATCTTCTTGGGGGGAATTCTGCCATGTCTGTGATCAGAACATGAAGCAATTGCCTCACAAATACAAGAAATACTTCACATTTAGAAGTTGTTAAGAGAGAGCTTAGTTAACTCAAATATTGCCGTCTGTCTAGCACCTCATAAGTGGGTGCAAAATGAGCCCACTGTGCTTAGAAGATAAAAAGCCTGACTGAATGTGCTTCTGTTACAAAGAAACCACTGTTCGTAGAAAAGTAGTTGTCAGAGAAGTTCTTATATATTTATAGTAATTTTCTCCCTGGCATCTAGTTTTCTAGAGGGAATAAGAAATGTGGTAGAACCCAGATATAGTTTTACCATCTCAGTGAGAACTAGAGTTGGAATATGTAGATCCATCTCACTACTCGGGGCAGTTTCCTCAGTGT